GAGATCACAGTCAAACAAAACACACGAGAGAAAGATTTCGTTTGGTGTTTCACTCCTTGGCTGAAGTCTGAGAGCCCTGGCCAATCAGAGCAGAGCGCTGAGCTGTCAATCATCGAGTGGGCGTGGCTTCAGGCGTCACTATTGCCTGATTTATTGAAATGATTCACAGAGATGAGAAACGGAGGCAAGAAACACGTCAAACTAACAAACTCCATTCAGTGTGTTGTGTTTCTGTGGAGGAGACACCAAAAGCAGAAGGAGTGTGTGATGCTGATGCTGATGCTATTGCTCGCTCAGCTGCTCTCTGCTCTCTCCGTGTTTGGAGGTCTGGTTTGGGGACGGCGTCTGGGAAGGGTGGTTTATCGCGGTCACCGGAACCAGACCCTCCAAACCCGCTGCCAGACCTGACGGGAACCTGCGGGAGAGGGCAAAGGTCACCATACAGACAAGTGACATGCACTGGGATGGGATCGGCATGAAATAAAGGGGTGTGAAAATGGGCAGCCAGGACGATGTGTACTCTAACAGTGTTACAACTATTAAAAACAACTGAAACTATAAAAACAAAAATGTTTTTGATCATTGAAATAAAGCTGAAATAAAATACAGATATTAGGTGAAAAAGATATATGCTTAAATGTTGACTTGTTGCCATAGACATAGACATAAAAATGAACATAGAAATATGGCCATTGCAACCAATTGAAGAAATACAGTAAAATATAATAAAAAATAAATAAATATATTAAATTAAAAATTTGAATAAAAATTTTGAAGTTGAAAAATTTAGAAATGTTTTGGCAACTGAATGTAATAAAATAACATCAAATGAAATATTAGATTAAAAATGTAAACTTAAAACATAAAAGTAAATTAGAAATGTTGCAACTAACTGAAAATTAAATAAAATTAAAGATCAGATGAAAAAATGCTGTCTTGGCGACCAAATGAAATTAAACAAATTGAAGTACTAATATTCCTAAAACTCAAATAGAAATAAATTAAAATTAAAATATTTAAAATAGAATTAAAAAAAATCTAATAAAGATGACAAAAGAACATAAGAAAATGACATCCTTAAATTTTAAATGAAAAGCTAAAATATATAAATAAATACTATAATAGTAAATAAATAATACTAAAATAACACTGGTCTCTAAATAGTCAGATAAAATGATTTTTCCACTGTGTACTTCTAATTCAGATGTCTATGAACATTTATTAGGGTCAATATTCAGTTCTGTAGCCTATTTATCATTTTATATTTCAATTTATATTTAACATTTTTTATTTCAATTTGTGAAATTTTGTACTCCAACAAACTTGTATTTCTGTTAGTTGGCAAGGCAACATTTGTCATCTTCCTTTAAGTTTTTAAGTTTCTCATCTAATATTTATATATATAACTTCATTTAAATGACAACAAAAACGATGCTCGCTTATAGTAATTTGTGAAGAGTATGTTTCCGGCTTAAAGCCTGTAAACTAGTTTAGATGAAACTAAACTAATCTCTTAAACTGAACTCTGAGGGAGGGTTTGGCTATCAGGGGTCAAAGGTCAAAGCAGCAGAGAGAGAGAGAGAGACGGGCGTCTGTCATTCTTTTACCTGCTCTAGCTTTAGGCATTGATTCTGTCTTGGTGGGCGGAGCCAGTCGTGATGGCCTGCAGGGATTGGTTGACTTGGCTGCATGAGAGAAGCAAATGGGGCGGGGCTCAGAGTTGAACTCATGTCATGTGACTGTGTGGGGGTGGAGCTTACGGGGTTTTAAGTGCTAATCATTCACGTTACTGAGATCGTGGTGAAACAATGAATGAAAATCAAACGAAAAATGAATGATGTGCTTGATAAACATTAAATAAGATTGCGGTCATACCTGTAGGCGGCGCCGTTGAGCTCAGGATGAACCTGCTGCTCCATCAGGCCCCAGGAACCTGATGACACAAAGAACTCCTTATTGACACAGTTCCTCAGACTGTCAGGAATCCGGCCTGAGAAACAAAAAAAAAGTGCTTTAATCATCAGATCAGCTCGTGAATGAGAGAGTGAGTGAATGAATGAATGAATGAATGTGAGTGAGTGAGTGAGTGAATGAATGTGAGTGAGTGAATGAATGCGAGTGAGTGAGTGAATGTGAGTGAGTGAGTGAATGAATGTGAGTGAATGAATGAATGCGAGTGAGTGAGTGAATGTGAGTGAGTGAGTGAATGAATGTGAGTGAATGAATGAATGCGAGTGAGTGAGTGAATGTGAGTGAGTGAGTGAATGAATGTGAGTGAATGAATGAATGCGAGTGAGTGAGTGAATGTGAGTGAGTGAGTGAATGAATGTGAGTGAATGAATGAATGCGAGTGAGTGAGTGAATGTGAGTGAGTGAGTGAATGAATGTGAGTGAATGAATGAATGCGAGTGAGTGAGTGAATGTGAGTGAGTGAGTGAATGAATGTGAGTGAGTGAATGAATGTGAGTGAGTGAGTGAGTGAATGTGAGTGAGTGAGTGA